ATGGCAAAAAACCTGTAATATTTGGATTTGGATTCCACTCTTTACCTTCTGAAATAAACATGGTCATTATATCCTAAAAGTTAAAAAAATAATGGACAATATTTGAAACAATTATTGCTTAACTTACATAAAGATACCTTATATTAAAGTAAAGTAAGTATTGTATCGCCAAGAATTATAACATTTGTATAAAAAAGAATACGTATTCTTAAATTAAGCATAGTGTATATTTTATTTGAGGGTGCTTGCATTTAAAATAATATGATAGATTTTCTTGAAATAAGAATAAGAATAAGTTTACCCTTGCTCCTAAATTATATCCAAATAAGTATAGGTTAGTTCTTGCATTTAACCCCCTATATCCTTCAAATAAGTATTAATTTAAATAATAAATAAATAAGAAATAAATCAATCCTTAAATAAAAAGTATCTTTACTTGCGGAATGGTGAGATGAACATATACTTGGACTGATATGATTAATCTTTAATATAGAATAGCCCTTATTCAGTGTACCACGGACAGAACTCTCATTTTTTACTACAAAAGTTTTTGTAAATTTATAGGACGTTTTATTTCCTAAAAGTGGCAAATTATATTGAACTTAAATGTAATGGCTTTGCAATTAAATGTTAAAATAAGCCATTTTAATTGGTCGTAAAACAGTTAGTTTTATCCGTTATAATGAGAACACTTAAAAAGATTAAAGCAGAATTGCATTCAAATAAAAACTGTATATTTAACCACATTTAGATTTATTTACAAAGTTGTACAACAGAATCAGAAGATTTGCTCGTGTATTTTATTTAAGAATTTATCAAAAAAAATAAATATTTGGATAATTTTTAGGCAAAGTTTAGTAATTTATGTACAAAAATATGTATGACACATGTATGAGGATTGTCCAGGTTTTTCTGTCCTAGAATAATTATAATTATGTCAAAACGGGTCGAGAACAGCCTTGTCCTATATAGGAGACAAAATAAGTGGCAAGTTGAAGGAGCCAATAATAAGCCACATAAAATTTAGAATAGGTTGAAAAATGTCAGGTACACAAAAGAAATGCGAAATACTTTACGAGCCAGGTCGGCCATCTGACAAAATAAATGGGCGCTGCAGAAGGATGTCAAATTTAAAACGGAAAACTAACTGTACGCAAAAATCTTACTTTAAAAGTAGATACTTTATAACGGGAAATATAAAAACCAACAAATACAACAGTACTTTTGATATCAGTAATAAAAATTTACTTTGAACCATTAAACTTCATAAAAAAGCAATAAAAATAGGAGTTAATTTAAGATCAATAAATTCTTCATGGCAAAACACGAGTTTTAATACTGTGCATCCTGAAAAACAGGACGTGGAATTTAAAACAAACATTGCCAGAGTTACAAGCCATTTCTATTAAGGAAATTGGATATTCTTTCTGTGTTTTGACAACCTGATTTGAGAAATGTCGCTCCGATAAAACGACAAAAAAAATTTTGTGTGAAAAATATCTTCTCTTTCTTTAGTACCTATTATTAATATTTTGGATTAATATTTTTAAAAGTTATGCATCACCTCGGTTTAGTTTATTTTTGTTTACTACCTATACAATATTAGCGATAGTGATTATTTTTTTTTTCAAAATTATTTTTAGGTTATAAACAATTGTTTTAGAACATGTCCACCAAGAAAAATCCAGTTAATAAAATGGTTTTCTACTTAAGGTGCACGTAGTGCCTGTATTGTTTGAACTGGCCAAATACCTCGTTACTGTGCTTTTGTTTCAAGCCTGCTACACAAACAGGCACTGACAGACAGCCTGTTTTGGTCTTATTAGACCTCATCAGTGCCGGATAGCTGTGGTGTCTTATATATTTATATATTTAATACATTTATATATTTTCCAATAAGCTAACTAAATAGCTTGTCTAATCTCTAAAAATGAATTTGTCAAAAATGTAATAAAATTTAATAGTAATTATTGGCTGCTTTTTCACTTGTACCATTGTTAACCATTTTTATGTAAAATTGTCCCCGGAATCAGAAAATATTGTAAAAAATTATGAAAGTGGAGCAGTTTTTGAGATTAAATGGAAAATTGACTATATCTCAAAAACTGTTCCACTTTTTTAACTTTTTAAATGGGATTGTGAGATTGACAACGATATACCAAATTTGTTGTAAATATATACATATTTATTACAAATATAGTTCTGTCTTAATTATTTACTATTAATCATAAAATTTGTTAACCTAAATATTGCAAATCTTCTCCAGTAAAATTATAAAAATCTTCTCCTTTAAAATTATAAAACACTGTGAGGTTGACGACGAAATGTTGATATAAAATGTGCTTCAGTTTGGGTGATTTTTAAAATAAAATACATAAAATTTTATAAATTGTTAAAAATCTCTAAAAGTATTAACTTTAGGTATAGGGAATAGTAATACCAATCAAAAGTTTTTTAATTTACTATTTTATTATGTAAAAACATACTGGGTGTTAGATTTAAAATAAAAAAGTTATTAACTTTTCAAGTTAGCCTAATTTGCCCTGGGTTTTCTCAAGTAATTTGTTGAAAAATTTTAAAGAGTTTTCAAGATATATTTAAAACAATGTTTTAAAATTCAAAAAATTTTAACGCTATACCTGCAAACCTAATAAAAAAAGTTAAATTATTTCTAATTGACGCGTATTTCTTAAATTTTAACGAAAGAAATTATTAACTCGAAAACTATTTACTTTAGGTATAGGACATGGTATGGTAATTTTACTCGGAATTTTATGTAGAATATAAAAGCGTAAAAATAGATATAAAGCAGAAGTTAATATAAAAAAATGTTCTTCTCCCACCTTTAAAACGACCATTATCGTACATGTTTCCATGACACTAAGTAACCTTTTAAATACACATTGACAAGTTGTGGCCTTACGGCGTTTTAGTCACGGGCTGAAGTTAGCAACAGGTTTTTAGTCACGGGCTAAAGTTAGATTTAAGTTAGTTGACGGTTGTCAAATGTCATGCAATCGTTAAAATAAAGTGCCTTTCTTGTAAAATAATACTAAATGTGAAAGTTATTTTATTATCTCAATACAAAAATACAAAAGTATTAAATAGTTTCTTAACGCCAATATTTAAAAAGTTTATATGAACATTGTACTGACCTTTTAATTTCGCCGGCAGTAAACTGTAACTTAAATTTGGGAACGGACTCCACTGTAAAGTGCTTATAATACATTTTCTTTACTTTCACTGTAAAAAACTGTCCATTTTCAAGAAATACATGTCGATTTATAACCTTTATAATCTGTGTTTATAAAATTTGACATTTGACGGTGACACACAGATTCCCCTATTGTTTCATAGATGGCGCTCTATAAAAATATTTGATTTAAATCATTTTAAGATAATAATAAGGATTTGTCGTAGAAAAAGTATAGTATGCACCTCGTTTATAAACTTTTCTATACACTCATTAATTTAAGAACTCGTTCGCAAGCTCGCTCGTACCTAATTTAAATTCGTGTATAATATTATCGTTTATTAAACTTGATACATAATATACTATTTTGTATTACCTATATTCATGAATAATATAATATGCATAAATAAATAAAATTAACTTTGGGATAAGTTCTTAATTATTTCTTACATTCTCAAAATTACCTTGAGAAACCTTGGGAAGTTCAACGAGGCATTGTCCAGTTTGAAGTTTATCGGTAAAGAAACAAGATAAACAGAAAGCCAAAGTAATAAATTAAAACTTAGCATTGTTGTGTTAAAGGTTTAACCTTATTGTAGGAGACAGAATTAAGCTTAGTTTTGGGCAACCGGCCTTATTAATAACTTAATTATTAAGTTTACCACTACCAGTTTGACTTCTTACGAATAATTAGACGTAAACTAAAATGTTTGAATTTATGTCTTGCTCACTATAAACAAAAACCGGTATGCTGATGCGCATTTCTCTCGCGTCGTGTGACGTCATGTGCGAACCTAAAGCTGGCGGGTAACTGGATTGTAATGTTATTTGCACTGCAAATTCACTTTATATTTGAAAATTTATAAATATAGGGACGGCCTATTTGCAATTATTAAGTGTAACAAATGTTAAGAGAAAGCGCTTTTAATACCAATTTTGCATATTTTAAGCAATAATTAATTTCCTACCTTCCTATTAGTATTTTTCAAAATATTTTCATTTCATTAAATTAACTTAACTTACGCTAGACCGAATTTTACATTTTTTTAAATGTGAAAGGTAACAAAATTTAAAAAATGCATTTATACAGGTAATAATAGCGCATGCCAGCTTTAAAGTTTAAAAAGTAAAAAAAAATCTAAAAACTGCTTTTTTTACTTGTGACACTTTTGAAGCGGGTTTCCTATACAATTTTGTTTTAATTTTTATTATTAGTAAGAACTTCTGCAAGGTTTAAAAAAATATGTGGTTAAGGTGAAAAGTTACTATAAGTACCTAACAGAAAATTGCGAGGAAAATTGGGTATACCAAAAATTGCCTTTACTGACCGTTTCTTATTTTCATTTTATCCTTTCTCTTGCATCTTGCATCCACTGTGCTGCCAGATCTTTATTTTTGGAAATCAAAAATATTTAATGTTAGGTTAGGTTGGGTGTTCAAGTTTCTGTTCATATTTTTGTTGTCTGCTACAACACACACCGGCGTATGTTAAATAGTCCAATAAATATAATAAATAACCTGGTATAAAACACCCTTGTAAATAGTTATTGCAGTAAAAATTTTACGAAAAACGTTGCAAAACCATTGTACGTGGCTTATACATTAAAAAACAATATTTTCGGAAAAAACTCAAAAGAAATCGTAGTAAAAACACCCGTGCATAGCGTATGCCTATGCAAAACTGTTTTCAACATTTGAATCTGGTTCGCACGTGAGGTCACAAGCGCGGAGTCGACGAGTTTTCGTTTCATAACCTGCATACCGGTTTTTGTGTATCGTGACTAAAACTAAATATTTTTTGTTTCAGATTTTTGAGCGTGAAAAAGTGGCTGCTACGCAAGAAACATCAGATCGAGTTGGCGCGCAAACGCGGCTGGAAAGGCTACTGGGTCTGTCTGAAGGGCACGACGCTACTTTTTTACCCATGCGACTCGCGCGAAGGCCGTTCCGTCGAAGCGGCACCGAAACATCTGATCATCGTAGATGGCGCCATCATGCAACCGATTCCAGAGCACCCTAAACGAGATTACATCTTCTGTTTGAGTACTGCCTTCGGGGATGCGTATTTGTTCCAAGCCCCTTGCCAGGTAAAAACAAAAGAACAAAAATCACAAGTTTTGCATTTTATAACGTATACAGTTTGTCTACTTAAGCGGGCAACATACAGTGTAACCCATTTGTTTGCGACTTACCCCTGTAAAATTTTTATTTATTGTGCGATTTTAACCGAATTTGTTTTAAAGCCATATTTTTACAAAATACAAGGCCTACTATGTCAGTTTTGAAGAGTAAATTTTTAAGAATTCATATTAGGGATTTTTTTAAACAAAATCCAAGCACGGCACTGGATTATTCACATTATTAAGCATATTAAATTTTTTTTAATAAAATTTAGTATAGAGCAGTGGCGGCTCGTGACCATTCATGAAGGTGATGCCCATGCCGCAAGCAATTTTTTTAAAATTTTCAAGGTCTCGCGTTTTTGGAGCACTTCAGAATCTAAATAATAAAAATATATTATTTAAAATTATGTTCTTTCACGAGAAGAATTTTCAAAATTTAGCTAGAATACAAAAAGTGCGGGATGAGGTGGGATTTTTATTTATTCCTTCAGCAGGTTTACACATTACCCAGGAGGTACTGCTCATTTTTACCTATCTTACAATAATAATTTTTAGATTAATAAAGGCACAACCGCACAACAACAAAATAATAATGTACAAGCACAGTAGTTATATGAAACTCAACGATTTAACACTGAACTATAAAAAAACATGAATATTTTTATTTATATTTTTTGTGATTTATACTGTGGTATTTGTGTGTTAAATAATAATAATAATATATTAAAATAAAAATAAAATATTAATGATCTTTCATAATTATTTGAATTATTTTTACATGAATTCACAACACAATAATGTATTTTATCCTTGCATTTTTATCACAACTTTCCATTTTAACGCTAAGGCAAAGACTAAACAGAAATAAGAAACTATAAACACGCATATATTGAAGACAGCAGAGTCAGTCCCGAGATCTGTGCTTATCAGCCGTTGTAAAAGACTGGGCGGGGCGTGGAATGTGGAAAATTTGTTTACTAAAACATTCCACGCCCCGCCCAGTCTTTTACAACGGCTGATAAGCACAGATCTCGGGACTGACTCTGCTGTCTTCAATATACTGTGGTACAAGCCCAACTTTGTGGGCCTCAATGTCTACAAAAATTCGCGTATTATCCCCGCCTTGCGGGGGTGCCGGCGGCACCGTGCAGCGGTGGGGAGCATGATGTTGTATCGGCAATGTGTGACGTATATAAAGCGCAAATTTATGGGATTACTATTTCCCTATTATGCGGTCGGGCAATGATTTAAGCCTTTAGAATTAAAGTTAGAAGGGGTGCGCGCTAAATTTAAAGGAAATATTTTTAACTCTAATGGTTATTCTATGTTTTGATACTTTTAATGACTGGAAATTAGTTTTAAAACGTTTTATATTTAAATAGGTAATATATCGAAAATTTCAAATTATATTATAATTTTAACATGTGAGGCTCGGCCTCAGTTGCTTCATACGACGAGCCGCCACTGGTATAGGATTGAAAATCGCTAATTTGAATTCTTAAAAAAGTACTCTTAAAAACTGACTAGTAGGCCTTGTATTTTGTACAAATAAGGCTCCAAAAATACAGTTTATCAAGATCTACACTTTAAAACAGATCCGGTTAAAATCGCACAATAAATAAAAATTTTACAGGGGTGACTCGCAAACAAATGGGTCACATTGTATAAGAGACTTTCTTATTATTAATTTTACAAAGAAAAGTAATTCCTTATGAAAAGTTCTGCATGTTCTCAAATCTAAAATAAAATCTTTAGATATCATAAACGAGGTTTGACAAAAAAATATGAATTTGGTTCAAGAGTAAAGTACCTTTATTTGTTACAATATCGAAAACTGTAATTATGAAAAGTTGTTCGGAATGAAAAAGTATGTTTTATTATGCAATTACAACCTTCTACTTAAACATTTTTTTTCACATTTTTTTCTCAAATCACCGATACCGACCATTTACCTTTTTTATTTATTACAAACATGATAACCTTTCCGTTCCGTTCAGAAAGTCATAAGCAAATTCTGATGTTTTGACATTCAATGTCAAAAGTTTCTTGCTATCATCAAATTTGTTTGTCAGTGCATTCTAGATTACATGTAAGTACAGTTAAAAACAAATTTTCGAAAAATTGCGATTATCACAATTTTAATACCAGACATAACCTAAACTACCGACTACCTCATGTTCGACTTAATATTAGTGAAAGAACTCCAGATATTATGGGTCCTAGAGCCTTTAACTTGCTACCTCAGAATTCCGAAGAAGCTACATCTTCTGTAGCGAAACAATTGTCAAAATTTAATAAATTTCGTGAAACTTTACAACAAAGTTGTTTTTATATCCACATAGTTTTAGGTTTAGTTTTTTGACTATTTCAACACATTTATGTATGTTCCATGGAAATAAATAAATATTATTATTATTATTATTATTATTATTACATTTGCATTACTATTGTAAATAAAAAAGAAAAAATGATTTTTTTTATTTGAATGGAAGTAATTGTATATTTGAACGTAGTTTTTAGTTCTTAACAACTTTTTTTAATAAGAATTTTCGATATTGTCAAATCTGTGGGTAAAAGGCATAAGGGGATAAGTCAAAAAAAGCAATTTTTCAGTAGAGCCTTAAACGTATTCGCATTAATTCAGGAAACATATTTATGGTTAGCGGGTATACCCTTTTATTTGCCCATGCCATATGCTAACAAAAGCGTATACCCGCTAAACATAAATATATTTCCTGAATTAATGCGAACACGTTAAAGACTCTATTGAAAAATTGCTTTTTTTGACTTATCCCCTTATGCTTTTTACCCACATAAATATAAAGGTACTTTGCTCTTGAGTAAGATTCATATTTTTTGACTAACCGCGTATACGACTGAAAAATTGTTATATCTGATAATTGTATTTTAGATTTTAGAACATGCAGAACTTTTATGAACAATAACTTTTTTTCTTAAAATTAATAATAAAAAAGTTTCGCATAGGTTAAGTAGACACACTGTATGTACAGGGAGAGACTTTTAACTTGAAACTTCAAAATATCTCAGTAAATAGGCATTTTACGAAACATTCGAATCATTTAACTTTTATTTTAAACATTTTTTTGTAAAATGCCTATTTACTGAGATATTTTAAAGTTTCAAGTTAAAAGACTCACCCTGTATATTGTATGCTTTTAAATTCAAATATTCTATGCTCTAAGATAAATGACCCTAGAGTATATAAAACATATTAGATCATACAATACGTGAATTTAAACAAATCAATTTTACTAGTTATTCGTAGAATATACGAATCTGTAACCTGATTAATATTAACGTATTTCGGGTTCAAAGTAGTGGTTTTCTCATTAGCATGATCTCCGAAACCCTTGAAACCAACTGCGGTCTTAAGTCTGCCTATTAATTCCACAATTAATCCCGGGAAAAATTAAAGAAAGTTTTCCAGACTTTTTCGCAAAAAAGCGTAAGGTAGAATATCTGGATCTAATTTTAAAAATTGTGTTCTGTAAGATACGTCAAACGTTTTACAATTAGGGTTGGTCTTAAATAAAACGAAAGGTTTTTTATTGAAACTTATGAATATTAAATGGACATTGCATTCAGAGGTGTTTCTCGAATATTAAAATACATTTTTACTGAATAATTTTTGGAAAACTGCCATAAATAATTTATCAAGCGCAGTGCCGGCTTTCTGAAGAAACCAGAATTGTATGCAGCATACAGTTTATTAAATACTTTGCAAAATCGATTAAAAACATAATAATATATTATGAATTAAATTTGATAAACGCCATTTTAGTCACGAATTAAATTTGGGCACGAGCGAGCTTGCGAGCGAGTGCTTAATTAAATTAGTGCCTACTCTTTAAAAATGAATTAGTCAAAAATCACTAATTACTACAGTTACAAGTGGCTGCTTTTTCACTTATACCATGGTATCCCTGATATAATATATGATATATGTAAAATTGTCAAAAATGAGAGTAGAAAAGTTTATAAATGAGTTGCATACTATATTTTTTCTACGACAAATACTTAATATTATCTAAAAAAATGATTTAAATTAAATTTTTGTATAAAGCGATATCTTTACGAAGTAACTATCACAATAAACATTTTTGACGTAATTTTCATCATTAACGTTGCCCGTTAATATTTTAATTAAACTTAACAATTATTGATACTTTAAAATATTAAAATATTTTCATAATTTGATTATGTTAAGAAAATATTTTATTCTTTGATTTCTTTTTATTACCATAATTGTAAAATATTATCACAAAGTATTCAACATTTTTACACGGGAAATGTTAAAGTTACAAAAAGTGACAGTTGTATTTATTGGAATTCCTGTTATAATATCTAACTTAGGAAACTACCGGCGTTAAAATCTTGAACCTTCTGTGTAAATCAAAATTTATTATAAAAATAAATTATTATTAAAAATAGACTAACAATCGATATAGAAGCAGTTTTTCACGGTAAAAGAGAAGAGAATCTTTTATGGGCAAGGTACGCAAAATTTTTAACGCTTTATCAGTTAAATTTAGTTAACTGCACAACTACGGTGATATCAAAAGGTCAGTACAAATGTTCAAATAATCTTTTCAAATATTGGCGCCAAGAAGTATTGGGATAATAAAATAATTTTCACCTTTAGTATTATTTTACAAGAAAAGCACATTATTTTAACGATTGGATGACATTTGACAACTGTCAACTGACTTCAGCCCGTGACTAAAGCGCCATAAAGCCACTACGTGTCAATGTGTATTTAAAATGTCACAAGTGTAATGGAAACATATACCTACAATAATGGGCGTTTTAAAAATTTGAAATTTGTATTACGTACTTTTTAGTCAAGTTAGTCAAGAAATACGTAAGCACACCATTGATTTTTCAGGCGAATATAGCAATTTAAAACTTTTTATTCATAGTTGTTGAAAAAGGTTTTATTATGATCAGTAAAGTAAATTCACCTTAAAACCCAATTTACTTCAAACGATGCTCAAGGGATGAATTCAAAAGGGACAGTGGCCCGTTTTTTCCCATTTTTTTTGCATCCACGATCAGATGTTTTTTAAATTGGCCAGTTCAGTTTAAAGGTAAATATGGAAATTGTCGATCTAAACTCTCTAAAACTTAAAGTCTACTAAAATTATAACTTTGTTTATTCTTATTTATAAATTATTTCATAAAATTGTACTAACAAAATAATATTTAGGTATGTATCAAGTTTGATAAACATAATTTAAGTAACGAATTTAATTTAGGTGCGTGGGAGCTTGCGAGCGAGTGCTTAATTAAATACTATACTATACTATATCCAATGGATATTATCCATACTATACTTTTTCTACGACAATATCTAAAAAATGATTTAAATTAAATATTTGTATAAAGCGACATCTATACGAAAATAAAGTAAGCATCCCAATAAACATTTATGACCTATTTTCACCATTTAAATTGTCAGTTATTATAACAACTAACAATTATTGAAACTTTAAAATAACTTAAAAAATTATTATGTAAAGAAAATATTTTATTCCTTGATTATTTTTTATAATTGCAAATATTATCACAAAGTATTAAACATTATTACACGGAAAATGTAAAAGTTTCAAAAAGAGACAGTTGTATTTATTGGAATTTCCGATAGAATATCTAACTTGGGAATCTACCGGCGTTAAAATCATAAATTTTTCTTTGTAAATCAAAATTTATCCCTTGAAAATAGACTAACAATCGATATAGAAGCAGTTTTTCAAAGTAAAAGAGAAGAGAATGTTTTATGGGCAGTGCACGTAAAATTTTTAACGCTAAATCTAGTTAACTGCACTACTACGGCGAAGACAAAAGGTTAGTACAAACGTTTATATATTCTTTTCAAATATTGGGGTCAAGAAATTATTTAATACTTTTGTATTTTTGTGTTGAGATAATAAAATAATTTTCACATTTAGTAGTATTTTACAAGAAAGGCACTTTATTTTAACGATAGTATGACATTTGACAATTTTTAACTAACTTAATACTAACTTCAGCCTTTGACTAAAAACCTAGTGTCTTGGAAACATGTATAATAGTGGGCGTTTTAAAAGTAGGAGTATAGAAAAGTAATAATAGCTTATGCATACATTTTTAAGACAATATTTAGAAAATTGAAATACAAAGAAGTTAACAGTAAATTAAAAATCCTTAATGAACGCATACAACCAGTAAGCTACTTTGTAAAGAGAGACTTTAATTAAAAATTTAATAGACTCCAGCTTTTGACTACCCACGGTTAATTTTAAGCAAATTTATAATTTTTTATTTATATCTTATCAATTCTTAAAAATATTTTTAAATAAAGAATTACCAGTTATAAAGAGTTCCATCTGCACCTGCAAATTAGAATGGTTTCCACAGTGAACAAAATAAGTCTTTTCTAAGCTACAAATCTCGAACAACTGTTATACGGATATAAAAATGCTAATACAATACGCGTCATTCTTCAGACTTATATTTATTTAAAATGACTACGTCATTTCGCTGAAGGAAATCGTTGAATATTGTTCTTTACGTCTCGGCTTGTCTTCCGCTATCCTCCTGGGGCTGTTCGAAGTTCTTTTTATTTTCAAAGTACGTATATTTAAATGACTAAAATTGTCAAACAAAATATTTTATTTGAACAAGTGTGTTATGTTGATTTAGTTAATTTACATCGGATTTAGTTGGTTGGTGTTTATTTTAATTTATGTTAACAGAACTTTATGAATTCATTTATTTTATGTTGACTTTAATGTAGCTTTGTACCCCAGAGCCAGACTGTATCAAGTCCACTTTTTAAAAATCACTTTACACATTTTTTGTCTAAATTTTTTCGTTTTTTATGGTTAACAGGATAAAGTCCTGACTTACTTAGTTTTTTAAATGCAACGAAAATTTTCAATGCAAAATATATTATTGGAATCTTAAAACCTTGTTTAAAAGATACCTTGTTAATTCTTTAACATTTTTTAAAAAATTACCTAAGAAAAACCAGGGCAAATTAGGAATACTTGAAAGGTTATGTTATGGTATGTTTAAAATAAAAAAGTTATCCTAATTTGTCCTGGGTTTTTTTATGTAATTTGTTAAAAAATGTTAAAGAATTGACAAGGAATCTTTTAAATTATGTTTTAAGATTCCAAAAATTCCACCCTTATATTCGCAAACCTAATAACAAAAAGTTATAGGCCATTTTTGATTGACGCGCATTTCTCAAATTTTATCGAAAATTTAGAATTTAAAAATATAAAAATATTCAGGGTGTTCTGTTTGAAATAACAATGTTTATGTTACTTCGGTTAAACCCTAATTGACATTTTGTTTAAACTATTTTACAAAACTTCGAATGGACCACGAATCTGAAACCCTGTATATTTCCATAAATTTAAAAACAGTCACATGATATTTGTTAAGTAATTAAATTTAATCCTGTTTGTTAAACTTCAAACATTATAGCTTGATAAAGCCCAGCTTATTAGAAAGTTTATTGTTACAGTTTTATCCTATTTACACCAAATATTGGCCTTGCGAAAACTTAACCAACTATCGGCCAAACATGAAACTACAAACTTGAACTATATAAACTAAACTAAATGTATTTCTCAAATAATAATGTTAAATATTAAACTATTAGATTATTTATTATTTAATATACCTCAGCATATTAATTCTCCAAAAGTCAAAATGGCAACAGTGTTTAAAGTTATTCCTATTAATATTTCTGTTAAACAAAAGTCCTTACTATAAAAAGACACGTTTGGCAGGTTGTATAAATTGAAAACAATATTTTTGTGAAAAATTTCTATTGAGATTTTAGCATAACAAAGTTAACGAGATACTGTTGAAATATGAGTCCACCAATTACAAGTATTGATCAGTACTATGCTAACAAAAAATGTTTGTTCCAATGAAAGCGCATTAGCAAAAAAATCCACTCTTTTCTAATTAGCGTTTAATGATTTTTTAATTGCGCGATAAAAGTAAAATTTTATGAATATAAATTTTTTACGCGTCTCAAAGGTTAGCACGGCTCGTTACCCGGTTTAAAAACAACCTCATAAACTATAAGACCCTAAAACTTTACCGCAAATAAAAATCTTAACGACAGATCCCACTTCAGATAGTCTATTTATAAACCCGACGAACATCAAAAGCTTAAAATATTTAAGCCAAACAGGATTTTGTTAAATCACGGTAAACATACACTAAAGTTAGTTTTTTACTTGCAGGTCGAGCTAGAAAATTGGGTGAATAGCATACACAGTGCTTGTGCGGCGGCATTTGCCCGCCACAGAGGCAAGACTGGTACTTTGCATTTACTTCAGGAAGAAATCTTCAGATTAGAAAAAGCCATTGAAACGGTAAGTACACCAGTATTTTATCTATTAACTACAATTTCGACGTAAAGTGGTTAACTTTTATCCAAGAACATTTTAGTAAATAAAATAATAAAAAAATATTAAATTACTTATGTACGCGCGTTAAAAGTTATTATGGGACTTTTATTTTTATTCAGGAAATAATTTCATGTGTTAACCCTAGACTAATATTTTCAATAGGATATATCTATATATATATTTCATAAAAAATATAATATAATAATTTTTATTTTGCGAATTAATAATATCATAGCAGATAGTTTAAAATTTAATTTAATGTTTATACCAAAGTGATATTTTTATCTGAATTTTTTTTTAAACATACATTTTTAATTTGCCTAATTAAATATTAGATTTAATCCAAACGCCACAAAAACCGACGCACTCCAACAACAAACTAACGGGCACACGCTGGGTCAGTGCGATATAATTAGTTTAGAATAACAAGGGTGTCCAAACTTTCCAAAATATAACATTCAATTAAAAATATCTGCCTATTCGGCCATTTCAAGCATACGGACGGGACAAATCACAAAACTGTTTTATAAAAAAAATTGTAGGTAATTTATTATACATTATTTTTGCATCAAAATTGTCAAATATATTCTTCTTTTATTAGGCTATACATTAAATTCAAACGCAAGAAATATTTTATAGAAGTAGACAAAATTTTAATAATTGACAGGTTGTAACCGTCATTTTGACAGCTACACATTTATTTTATTTTATTAGTTTTTTTTACATCTAGAACGGTATGGATGTACACGGTATTTTATTTTTAGTTTTACTAATTGTTAAGTATAATTTTAACAAGGATAATTGTTTAGTTCTTTAAATGCCTCTTTCCAAGAAAATCTATTAGTTTTATTGGAATTCCTTTTACTGACACATGAATAGCATTGCCGGTATTTAAAACTCTTTTTAAGCCAGTTCTTTTAATTTTATTCAAAAACGGTAATTTGATAGTATGCAACACAAACACTTCCGTGTGAGGTTGGTTGTATGTAGTTATAATGATAATTATAATTAATATATTCATATGAATATTATGAAATATTTTGGTAGCTGGTTTGCCGTTATTGACAATTTAGTGTCAGTGGAGGGAATTTTCCAAATGATTGCGTTTAGGAGGGTATGTATTTGGGTTTTTGGGTATGTTACTAGGGTTTACTAAGGGAATATTTGTGTTTGAGGCTTAGGTTCTGGTGGACTTTGTGGGAAATCTTTTTAAAAATGTTTGTTAACATAGGCAACATTGTGTTTTTTTTTGTTTAAATCTTCTACGCACTTAATAAGGTTTACAATTTCCTTTTCGATTTGGTCGTTGAAGCGATTAGATGAGAGTTAAGTTTGTGCTTAAATTATGGAAAATTTCCAAAAATACGTGGTAAATCTCTCAATCTAATTGTATAATTCCGACCAAGACAATTTTCGTTTGGTACGATGAGCTCTGGGGTTGTGTTATTCCCTCATTTTTGGTCTTTATGCAGTCCTGACGTTGTATAGTTGTAAAAACTAAGGCTGGGAATCGATTACGAATAATTCGAATATTCGAATATTCGAGTATTCGAATAGGGGTGGAAATAGATTATAAATTATTCGAATATTCGAATACTCGAATATTCGAATACTCGCATATTTGAATACTCGAATATTAAAACACTTTAAATTAGTACTTATATATAAGGATGGTGCAAAAAAAATTTTTTCGAATATGTTAATTTGTCATTTTTATTAAAAAAAATTAACAGCTCTGGGGCCGTTCAAGTATTACGTAAGCAAATTTACTACAATTATTAACCCCCCCCCTCCCCCTTGTCAGCAAAAGTAATCAAAGCTCTTACCCCCCCTCCAATGCTTACGTAAACATTGGTCTTTTTGTTTTCAAGCATAGACAATGTGTGGGTTGCCATATGTGTAAAAAAGTAAATAACTACTGCTGACGTAATCACCATCTAGACCCCCTACCCCCCATGTCATCAAAAATAAGCAAAGCAAAGACCCCCCCACCCCCCTATAGTGCTTACGTAATACTTGAAGGGCCCCTCTCATCAAAAATAGATGGCTTTTGAATTTTGAAAATTCCAAAAATAATCAAATTCGAAAAAAGCGATATATGTAGTCGCTTCGTTTTGGACAGTAGCAAAAAGTAATCAGTAATTACTATATGTTTAATTGGTAAATTCTCATATAACTTGTTTCGATGCTGTATCCACTTATTTTTGTGAAAACTTATTCTCGCTCAAGGTTTTTTTTAGTGTAATGAGCATGTAGCATTTTAAGGTAATGGGAACTTAAATTATGACAACCCTAATCTATTAATTTTTTCCTAAAATGCAGGCTTTATGTTGCAAATGTCACGTAAGTTACCGGTCTTCAACTGCAATATCCTAACATTGATGTATATTTTAACAAAATGGCTGTTGAAACAACTAATGTTAGTGCTTGATTAACTAAAAATAGACTTAAGATTGACGAAAAATTATTTTATCCGAAATCGGCAGTAAAGTAGAACTGTACTGCCGATTTATTTTAATTTACGATTGTTGATTAATTGAAATATTTTAATATTCAAGTATTTAAAAATTGGATTATTTGAATATTTAAAAATGTACTCTATATTCGAATTATTCGAATGTACGAGGACATGAATCACAGATTATAAAGACATGAATATTCGAATTATTCGAATTTACGAGAACACGAATATTCGAATAATTCGAATACTCGAATATTCGAATAATTCGAATACTCGAATATTCGAATAATTCGAATATTCGAATAATTCGAGTATTTCAAATAATTTTTAAACGAGTATTCGAATTCCAAAAACTAACAAATTCCCAGCCTTAGTAAAAACTCGTTTAAACAAGGGGTTTTTATGTTGGAGTTTTTTGTAAGACTTTTTATGTCAGATTTGTTGTAAAGGAATGGTTTTTTACCCTGAACTTGTTTTGAATAATGGCAAGTTCTTACGTTATTTAAAAGCCATCCTGTATAATCTGACATGGTAGGAGACTTCAACATCGGAAGCCAACCCATTCGGAGACACAGTCTACCAGGGCCCCAACTACGAACAGGTCGTACCAATTTTAAATATTAATGTTCACGTACACTACACTCCTTATAATATATTATGTTTGTGTACTTTTAAGTTGAGAGATCAACATAGTTATTTTAAGTATATTTTTTTGTAGCATCGATAATATTTTGTCAGTTATCAGACTTTGGTTTTTGTAAACCATGTATGGCCATATAAGGGTGCACCAAAATATTTTTAATTATATGCAAAGTGATCATTTCAACATCGATGAACAAATATAACTGTTTTATATATTTTTTAAAAACTTGACTTTTAATAACCACCCTTAGTCTTTAGTAAGATTGTGTCTGACTTACTTAGATTTTAACAACTGGCAATAATAAGACACTGGCGCCCAATTTTGGATTTATGTTAGTAAAAACACGTAAGTATTAAGAAACAACATTTGCCCATCGACCCATCTCACCACTGTAAAGCTGCCGTTCGCCATAGCCCTCGAGTTGAGGTTACAAGGTGGACGGGACAAGATATTTTTTTTGTCCTGTCCACACCTTTGAATTATTAAAATTATGTCTAAAAGAATAATAATATTGACAATTTTGGTGCCAAAATTTTATATAATAAATTATATAGATTTTTTTTTATAAAAACAGATTTGTAATTCGTGCGTTTTGCGCGCTTGAAATGGCCGGATTTAAAAAATTAAAATAAATTAAAAATATTTCCCATGATTTTTTAATGCATTTAAAAATTTCTTCTTATTTTTAATTTAGCGAATTAAAAATGTGTTTAACTAAAAAATACAAATATAAGAAACAGATAATTTAAATTCACTAAACAAAACCGGCTATATCCATTTTAATAAAATGTTGGGAAAATGGCATAAACTCCCCGTTTCCTGGCCTTTACAGATAAAAAAATGCATTTTGAATTTTGTTGGTACAAAACTCAAGACGCATTTTTTGGGCACAAAACTCAAGATGCATTTTTTTATCTGTAAAGGCCAGGAAACGGGGAGTTTTTACCATTTTCCCAATATTTTATTAAAATGGATATAGCCGGTTTTGCACGGATGCTCCTCAATTCCCGAATAAAAAATTAAACTTCTTTGGTGTAACTAAAAAAAAAAATTTCGCTTGAAAATAATTTATACAGGTTGTTCGATAAATTTTAAGGCTAAGCATGATTAGCTTGTTGGTCTAAAAAAATTAACTTGTCACTTTTATTTTTATTTCAAAAAAGGTTGGTAGACATTATAATGACTGAATTAAAAATAATAAATTAAGAAACATGAGATACCCCTGTATAAGTGAGAAAATTTTGTATTTTTTTTGTTTTGAATATATTCAAATGTATACATTTGAAAGATTAAAAAACCTTTGTAAATTTAAATTTTTTGTAAATTTTGAGAATATTTAAAAGAGTTAGTCTTACTATTTTTTTAATCTATCCTACTGTGCGAATTTGTCCTAAATTTTTTTAAATTTATGCATGTAAGGGCAGTTTTCATATATCCAATCACTTTAAATCAATTTTTAAATAAATCACTTTAATAACACTTAAAAATCTATCTTCGATATGCCGCGGTACAGCAAAATAAATGACAACGTCTGCGCCTTCATGCTCTCCTGATAAATATGGGCGTTTAAAAATCAGACGGTGTAAGCTGTGACGTCACTTCCTTCGCTAGCTAAAATTGTACTCTTAACGCAGTATAAATTCATATTTTAGATTTCGAGTTTGATTATATATTTTGGTTTTAAAATATTTGAAATATTAAACTTTAAAATCGATTTAAAAAGTAATCATCCAAATTTAAAAAGTACAAAAGTAAAAGATGATTATTTTAAATGATTCCAAATGTCGGTGCTATTACAAAGTTGTTTCTTTTCTACATTCCAAATTCATAGAAGTCCTTTATAATAAACTCTAACAATGC